ACCATAGTGGGAAGTTTAAGTAACCCGTGCACCTTCGAAGCTCTCACCACCTCCCCACTATTTTTTCCTTTCAGCTGTTTGCTGTAGTCATATTCAATCCCACGTGCCACAATGGATATGGATGCAAATTCCATGTGAGATACGAACATCACCGGGAATGCACGTTGGCAATAAACTTTTACCACCAGAAGTTGCTTATTAAGTTGGCCATCGTCACTTGTCGTGTATGGTCTGCACCCGACGCTCTTGTTTTTTTTTGAAATGGAGGGTAGCTAACAAGCATCAGTTTGGCAAACTGTTTCGAGCTCTGACTTCCTGTGCAAGCTACTATCGAGCTGCTGTGAAAAAGGAAAATTCAAAAGATTTCTACGTACCAATCGATCGCTGTCACTCCTCGATCATGCACGTGGAACTCATTCACTGGCGCTGTCGGATAACGGAGATCCCATTTCTGTACACCCGGCGTCAGTGCCACCTGGCTGCACATGATTAGTGTAGAAGAATCTTCTGGTTTCCAGCAAATATCTGCCCAATCACCGCCAGTTCCAATCTTAAAAAATGGTAACTACTTAGGAGAGGAAAGCGAGTCAGTCGTGACTTCAGAGCATGCTGGTTCTATAGCATCACTCTAGACAAAGGCTTAAGAGAAGACTTCTCCCAAAACTTTTATGACCTACCTCTGCAAACTCGAGAATCGGACCACCAGGGCGTCGCATGTCCCACAGACTTCCACGATGAGAGGTCAATGACGCCAAAATATTACTCATGGATCTATTCCATCGTACTCGTTTCACCTGAATCACCGGACTGCCTTTTGTAATCGTGACTGAAACACACATCCTCACATTGTTCTTATTGAGAGCTTTTAGAATTAGTTTATGATGATGCTAATTGGTGTGTTCTGAGCAGCTGGAAAGACCAAGAGTGAAGCGATAACCATTCAGTCACATACTAAGAAAGGGAGCTGAGTCTATGCAGGGAGTTTTTCCTATTACTGCGTCGGCTAGTTCAAATGTAGTTTCTGCAATCGCATTCAAATCTATGTGAGGGGCTAAGTGAAGAGTGGTTCACAAGCGTTTGTATTTATAGTTAGACTATTCACCGCTTCTTCACCCTACCTGGGAAATTACCGTAAGGGCTACCTATATCCGACAAGGACATAAACGTGAAGCAAATTAAACCAGTGACGCCAGGAAAAGCCGCGACAGCCTTGGAAAGGATTATAATTTGAAAATTCCAGCAGCACAAGTTCCTCGAATCAGAAAAGAGAAAGCGACACTGTTTAAGTACTGAGGCGCATGCATAAGAGCCTTCTATCGAAAAGTCGATCTTGGATGACATAAGAAAAGTAGACAGTAGTATACAATGGACCTCACAGGGGTCTGAAGAAGTCGTTCGGGCTTTCGCCAAAGGAAGCAAGTCGTGGATGCCGAATTTCGCGAAGTAGAAGGTGGGTCAGCTAGAGAAAGTGTTTGGAGAAGCTCAGCGGTCCAAGTGAAAGTGCTGCTGACATTAGGACAAAAAGAAAATATGTGAAACGCATCAAAAGCCAAAGTTTATGAAGTCATTGGGAGGAATGAATACCTGATATAAAAGAATCCTATGTGCAACGAGACTTCTTCACGAAAGCTCTGAACGAAAGGAATGAAGGACTTCGTGTCCCTCGAGCGAGGAGGGTCCACTGGACAACTCTTGCACGCGACAGGGACGAATGGAGACGTTGCTGGCGCCCGCTCGAGCAATTCGATGATCAACGGGACGACAGGTGATACAGGTGATGATGAACGAGATTGTTACCAACAGCAGCGCTAAAATAAGAATAAATTAATAAGATCTGCATCTCCGAATTGAAATTTCGCTAGTTTTTCCCTTTCTTGACTTTGAACCCAAGAATTTTTTGAGACACAAAATAAAATGCAAAAGCCATAAAAAATAAAAAACAGCAAATCAACCATTGAGGAAGCCATTGACTTCTGACCGTCCATTATTACCATCCTGTTGAGTCTACAAAAAAACGAAACTTGTCTGACTAAATATACGCCCTGAGCATTTATTTTCCAGCAGAATTCAATCATCTGACTACTCCTTGAACTAGCGGCATATTTAGTCAGCAAAACCAAAAGGAGGACTTGTAGGAGTGAGCAACTGAGCAGTAGCATGCTTGCTTAATATAGATAAAAGCTGAGTCTAAAGCAATTGAATGGAGAAATTAACGCTAGATTACAGTTAATGCAATAAATAAGGCGCTCGATTGTTTATCTAGTGGCTAATTGCTAAAGTTTTCCCCAACGACAACTTCGAGCGCGTCACCTACCCCCACTGACGTCATTATTGGGAGCATGGATGGAACTGAAGTGAAAAGTCCCCCCATCCAGCCTACTATAAGGATCCCGCTCAAGATAAATGGTTTGTATTTATATCAAAGTTTCGAAATGAAGAGGAAATCATCTCATTATCTTCGAGAATGGAATTTGTTTGCTTGAAAAATTGCTTCATAGACAAAAGTTCCTTAATTGCAGAATTTACTCATCAAAATCAGGAAAACATGGCTGCATAAAGCCACCCTGAATGACGTAAAATGAATACCAAGTGCACAAAATGTGAAACGAATCTCTAATATGAAGAAGATAGCAAAAATTCATGAAGAAAGTAAATATGCAAACAAAGTGAATCTTAATACCTGGCTCAGCAAAATTGGGAGTACCAGGTGAAAATGGTGTCGCAAGATTCGTCAAATCCCACAGCAATAACTGTGCGCTACCAGCTGATATTGCCCATCTGTTATCGGACGAAAAGTCCACAGACAACACGTGACCTTGATGGTCACGGCGAGAGGATATCACAGACAACGACGAACCTGGACAATATCCTCAGTTGAGGCTCCATAGACAGAAAAGTAAAGAAGAATGATGAATGCAAAATAATCTTACCGTTCACTAATTTGTGAGCATCCTAAAAATACAACTGTGCCCTTCTGTTCCACCAAAAAATTATCCGCCGGGAAACCCCCAAAAAAAAAAAAAAAAAAAAAAAAAAAAAAAAAAAAAAAAAAAAAAAAAAAAAAAAAAAAAAAAAAAAAAAAAAAAAAAAAAAAAAAAAAAAAAAAAAAAAAAAAAAAAAAAAAAAAAAAAAAAAAAAAAAAAAAAAAAAAAAAAAAAAAAAAAAAAACCCCTGATAAATTCGTGAATTAAACAGTGATCTTGTAGCTTCCCTGCCCAGAAGAACAATTTGCTGGCCTACAAATAGCCACTGTGGAATAGGCAGGCCCTACGACAAAATGTCGATGCTTGACCGATTTACAATCGTACTCCTCCCTCCCACTTTATACCGCGCACAAATAACAAAATTCCGCACTTTAAGTGTCCACTAACCATGAACTCCCCTCGCTTATTTAGGCGCCTCGAAGAAGAAATACACTCACACAATTATCTGCACTCACGTTAGAAAGTAAACTAGAAAGGGTCATAAATGTCCATTGAAAAGAGCACTGTCAGCAGAACACTTCAAATTCTTCTGAATCGGGGACACTTATCGCTGTGGACCGTTGAGTAATGCTCATCAAATGCAGGATTGAGTAGTTCAAAACTTACTTGTATTCGCATGGCACTGACTGTTGAGTAGATACGACGGAGTCAGCTGGTTTTGTAAATATATCAGCGATGGTGATGTAGTCGAGTCGAGCTTGACTGCTTGTAGCGTTAGGATCGAAATAGTGAGCATATTCCGCGACTACTCCTCCCTAAACAGAGGTCTTGTGTGGAACCAAAACGCCCTTACCGATGCTAAATCTTAAGACACCTTGTTTAGAAAATTATACGATGACACACGACCATTAGGCCATTAGTTCAATTATAGTACCCACAAAATAAAAAAAAGTAACAGAGAATAGGTCGGTTCACTTCAAGAGCTTGATAGGTGAAATGTTGTGCAGGTACACATGCAATTTTGCTATAGAATCATTCGATCATGATCAGAAAAATGAGTGCAACAAGGCTGAAAATCGCCATCAGAAGTACAAGCAGTTAGAAAACAACGGCCGCAGTTCGCAACTTGGGGATTAGGACAGTAGGCAATAGGGTATTAGGATTGTAGCCAAAAAGGGTATTTTGTTCTGATGAAGGACATATACGTATCGACTGGAATAGAGGTGGAGTTGTAGATTAGGCCTTTTCGAGAAAATCCTGCAAACATTTTTAGCGCACTACTTGACTCTGTTACTAGCCTAATCTCCTACTCTATCACCATCTATTAATTTAATCTCAAAAGTCAGCTCTAATGTTCCAATCGGTATGTATCAATCATTCCAGCAGGCTATATTGATCTATCACTATCCTATCCTATTCTACCTGTGAACAGTTTTCGTAGTCGTACTATTCAAATTTCCCAGTAAGGCACTTTGAATGCAGCCTGAACGGCTCACGAGCATCAGGGATGACGTATGTTAACAAGTTTTGAGGATTACTTCGCTTAATTTCAAGAGACGATTAGCTAGAAACATATTTTTATTGATGAAATTGTGGATTAGAAGTGTCGCCCGGAAATAGTCTCATAGCAAGAGTCGAACAAGATCGCCTCACAGAAGAGTATTAAGTTCCCGAATTCACTGCAGCTATGTCGGATTCGGATCAAACATGCGGCCGGCGTAGTTGGCATTGATGCGTATCGCTATGGATTGTCCCGTGGGTTATATCAGATTCTGATACTTGGCTAACCCTAGATCCAGAACTGCGACTGCAAAAAGTACATACTACCGAGTTGAGCCCATTTGGCAAATACAACTACAGAAAATATCTGCTCCTAAGTCCGCATTGGTACATAAAAGCTGGTACTCAACAAAGCCGTGTTCATACGCC